TCTTTTTATCTCTTCTAAATGATAACCTTGATGGATAGAATATTCTTGGTTGCAGGTTTTTTCCTTTCAGCACTTTGAATATATCATGCCTGCAAAGTTTCTGCTGAAAAATCAGCTGATAGCCTTATAGGGTTTCTCTTGTATGTAGCTGTTTTCTCTTGTTGCTTTTAAAATTCTCTAATACCATTTTTTTGCCTTTTTAATTATGCTGTGTCTTGGTGTGGATCTCTTTGGGTTGATTTTGTTGGGGACTTTTTGTGCCTTCTAGATCTGGATTTCTGTTTCCTTCCCCACATTAGGAAAGTTTTCAACTATTATTTCTTCAAGTAAATTTTCAGCCCCCTTTTCTCTCTCTTTTCCTTCTGGGAATCCTGTAATGCAAATGTTATTATGCTTGATGGTGTTGCTGAGTTCCCATAATCTATTCTCCTTTTTATTATTCATTTTTCTTTTGCTTTTCAGTGTGGTTACTTCCATTACTCTGTCTTCTAGCTTACTGATACGTTCTTCTGCTTCCTCTAGTGTGCTCTTTATCCCATCTAGTGTGTTTCTAATTTCAGTTAATTGAGTTCTTCATGTCTGATTGGTTCATTTTTCTATTTTCTATTTCTTTTTTGAGGGTCTCTGAGTCCTCCACTCCTTTCTCAGGTCTAGTGAACATCTTTATGATCATTACTTTGAATTCCATTGCAAGCATATTGCTTATCTCCATTGAGCTCTTTTGCTCTGAATTTATCCTTTTTTTTTTTTTTTAATTTTTTTTTTCCATTTGGGACATACTCCTCTGTCTCATTTGTCTCAGTCTCTGTGTCTGTTTTCATTTGTTAGGAAAGCCAGGTATGTCTCCTCATCTTGACAGTAGTGGCCTTATGAAGAGGCCCTGCTGCCCTCGAGGTGTTGGACGGTGTCCCCCGGTCACCAGAACCTGGCACTTCAGGTGTCTCCTGTGTGTGTTATGTGCATCCTGCTGTTGTGCTGGAGCCACGTTTGCCTTCCAGTCGTCTTCAGTGACCCTCTTTGCTTATCGTGGGCAGAGTTTGGTCCCTCTGCTGTAAGGGGCCAGTCTTGGCTGCCTTGGGTCAGACCAGATGCCTCCTCTTAGCCTGTTTGCTGGGCTGAAGTCACACCCTACTGCACGGTGCTCTCCTTGCGCTGGCCCCTAAGGGGCTTTCACTGGAGATGGGCCTGCAGTCGGGCCAGATCTCTGCCCCCACTTTGAATGTTGAGGTTGCAGTAACCAAACTCCAGGGCTCTCTCTTGCTGCCCCCTATGAGGTTTTTGTTGGCGGGTGGGGCTGGTAGACCAGATGTGTGCCCGCAGCCCACTGCTTGGGCTGCAGTTGAACTGGTGTATGTGGTTATCTTCCCCTCTCTCCATGGCAGGTATCCCTTTGGTGTGGTGCTGGTCACTGCAGGGTTGCTTGCAGAATGAGATGAGGAAGGTACTGCTCTGGATGAACTCCTGTCCCGTGGGCAAGTTGGATGGGGCGGATCCACAGGATAACGCGGTGGTGGGGCCTTGGGTGTCAGACCGGATGGGAACTGCAGCCACTTCAGAGGGATGCCTACAGAGTGGGGCAGGTTGGGTGGAACGAGTCTGAAGGAGAATGTGGGATAGGGTGTGGTGTACTGTCAGCAAAGCTAGGTGGCCATTGTAGCTGCTGGTTCCTGTAGGTGTCCAGGTATCTAGATGGTGGGCAAGGAGAGAAATGGTGCCTGCCAGTTCTTGTGTTCTTGGAGAAGTCTCCTAAAGGTCTCTGTCCCTCCTGGACATCATCTGTGATTAGTAAATATACCCTTCCTGTGAACCTCAGGAGTTTTTCATACTGCTATTTCTATGTTATATCTCAGTGGGTTGTTTGTTCTGCTGGCCCTTCAAGGGCAGGGACTGTTTCATATTGCCCTCAGGCTCTCCCAGACGTACACCTGCTGGTCTTTAAAGTGCCCTGAGTTAAGCCCCACTGATTGTAAAAACTCACAAAGCCCAGCCCCACCGGTTTTCAAAGCCCAGTGTTATGGGGCCTCATCTTCCCAGTGCAGGGTCCCCCATGTCAGGGGTGGCTGATGTGGGGTCTGTTCCTCTCCAGTCTCCACACTCGTGGTCTCCCTCCTGTTTGTGGCTAGTTTGGTTCTGGAGTGGGTCTCTGCCCCTTCTCCTGCTCCACTGTGGCCTACTGTCTACCATCAACTGTGGAGAGCCTGTCCTGCTGGTCTTAGGGTTTTTTTCTGGTTTAGTAGTTACACTGATGTGGCTGTCATCTAGGTTTATTCACGGGACAAGATGAGGTTGGAACTCTTCTACTCCACCATCTTCCGTGGAAGTCTGAGAAATCCCAATTCTCGGTATTTATTTGAAAGAATTGAAAGCAGGAACTCAAGCAGATATTTATACATAAGTGTTTATGACTTATATTCACAATATAATTATGACTTATATTCACAATAGCCAGGAGGTAGACCCAACTTAAGTATTTATGGATGGTTGAATCAATAAAGAAAATATGTTATATCCATATAGTAGAACATTATTCAACCTTAGTGAAATTCTGACACATGCCACAACATAGATGGACCTTGAGTACATTATGCTAAAAACTCTAATGCTTCCAGAAGAAAGTAGAGTATCTTTTGGACCTTGAGGTAGGCAAAGATTTCATAGACAGCAGTCAAAAAGCACTGGATAGGAAAAAAAATAAAGCAAATCTCATGAAAATTAAAAATTTCTCATGTGTTACACTGGTAGGGTATGAAGGTGAGCCACAGATTCAGGGTAAATATTTTCAAAACATATACCTAAAAGTAACTTGTAGCTATAGTATGTGAAGAACTACTATAAATCAGCAATGAAAAGGCAGCTCAAAGGATGGACAAAAACTTGAACAGGTACTTTACAACAGATGGGTGTACTCAAGTCCAGTAAGCCCAAGGGCAGTGCTCAGCTTAAACCATCAGGTGAATGCAAACCTAAACCCCCAATGAGATTCCCCTTCCCAACCACGATGGTGTCTGCTGTGGAAAAGATCGAGTGTACCAAGTGTTCTAAAGATGTGTCAGGACTGGAGTCTCATACACGGCTGACGGAGATGTGAACTACCATAACCACTTGTGAGTGGTTTGGCGACTTTTTTATAATTGAAACCTGCACTTACTATATGGCCCAGCAATTACATATTTAGACATTTAGAGAAGAGGAATGAAAATGCCCACATAAACACATGTATGTGAATCTTTGCTGCAGGTGTTTTGTAATAGCCCAGAACTGGACATAATGCAAATATCCAACAGCCGGAGAAGTATGAATGAATTGCAGTATATTCCTATGTTGTATTATGTCTCATTGGTAAAACCCTGTGAAGTATTGAAACATGCAGCCACGTGAATGAATATATCAAGCAGGTCGCGCTATAGCATAGTATCTATATGGTCATATAAAGTCTGTGCGATTCTATTTGTATGAAGGTCAAGAGCCAAGGCAAGCTTGTCAAAATATTGAACGGTAGCTGTTTATTCAGGGTGGGGGTTGATTGGAAGGACACACACAGGAACTTTGGGTTGATAGATATGTCCTGTCTCAACTGGGGTAATGGTTCTGTAGATAGATTTCCATCTATTAAAATTTATCAGTTGTACTTAAGATCTGAACATTTCACCACATGTACATTTTACGCTCTCTCCCCACACCTGTAAATTAATACTGACCTCTGTTTAATAGCTTTCCTTTTCATAGTGTCTCTTCACACTTTCTATAGAAGAGATGCAGGCTGCAGGTGGTGCATGGGGGTGGTTGGGTGCCCTCTGTTCTAAACTGCTAACCTGCTGGAGTTTTCCTAGGAACAGCATGAGCGTGGTGTGTTTGGTGGTGAAGGGTGTGGATCCTGGAGGTGTTCACACCTGGGCTCACATCTAGCAATGCCACTCGCCACGCTGATAACTGCGAGAGCTTCGTACCTCTGCTACCTCGTTTGGGAAATCGTGGGAGTGCCTCCTCGGTGGGGTTGTGTGGAAGACTGCGTGGAGCCGTATCGCGCCTGACTGCTGCCTTCTTGCTGGCTCCCGGCTTCCACTTGTCCTGCGGCCTTCTTCATAGCACCCAGAACCCCCACACACTCAGATCATGGCATCCCTGCTTAAAATCCCCAGTGCCTCCCTGTCAGACGTACCTGTCCCACCTCAGAAGCCCTCGTGCTGGTGCGTCACTCCGCAGGGTGGTGTCCTCTCTGCCCACCACCTGCTCATTCACCTTCCACACCTGGGAGCTGCATTTTCTTGTGTCCTGGGAATTCTCATCTTTACAGAATGGCTGTTTATTCTTACTCTTCAAATTTCTCATCGACAGAACTCTTCCCTGGCCTCACAATGAAGTAGGCAGTCTGTTTATCCTGTTTTCATTCCTGCCCTAGATGACTGCCTTTTGGGTGTCCCTTACCCATTAGCAAGTCAGCTGCATGAGACACAGCTCCTTGTCCATCTGATTCTCCACTGTACCCCCCGCCCTAAGGACACTTACGAAGTAGGCGTTCAGTGACTCTTTGTGGGCTGAATCCAGGGGGTTAATATACTCAAAAGGCCAAACACAGCGACTGGCCCCTGAGAGTCTGCTGTTAGTGGAAATCATTGCTGCAGCCGGCGAGGTGTGACCTGCCCCCTTAACGTAGACATGAATCCCGAGCTTTGAGGAGTGTGAGAAGAAATACCCACAGATCACCTAAGAAACAAAAGTCACGCAGCACTTTGCAGCCAGTATGTGATTATTTATTACAGGTTCTAGGGTAGAAAAATGAGTAATTAGAAGTCTGAATGAGTTTGAATGTCATTTCCCTGCAGCTTTTAATCCAGTGATTTTATACTTCTTTTCCCTCCTTCCCCACCCGTCTGTTTGTGACAGTGTCTGTAGGAGGATCAGCTATTTCACAGGACCAGGCCAAAGGGAAAAAAAAAAAGGCCCGGGGCCTTCGGGATGTCCCTGAACAATGGGGTGATTGAGCTCTCCTTTTGTTTTAGACGTCCACACAGAAGCCGTGCAGGCGGCGCTGGCTAAACACAAAGAAAGGAAGATGGCGGTGCCCATGCCTTCCAAACGCAGGTCCTTGGTTGTGCAGACCTCGATGGACGCCTACACACCTCCAGGTGAGCGGTGGGCCCACTGTCCGCTTCCTAAAGTGACGAGCGAGCCTTGGAATTAATTCACCACTAGCTCAAGCAGTCCCGGGCTTTGTAGCTTTCAAACTAATGGTACTATAATTCAGATTTTGTGAACCGGAAGTCCAGTATGTGCACCCCAAATTAAACTTGGAAGGAAAATGAACATTAAGTATGTGTCTATACAAATACGTATTTTAATCTTTTCATTGAGATTCATAAATGATACAGCCTTTAAAGTCTCATAAAGTTTTACTTGATCCTTCATGTAGCAAAAGGGAAAAGAGTTTGTGCCTCCACAGTTATAAATGAAGTTGGACTTCTCTTCTGCCTAGATTGGTCTGTACATATTCTCAAGTCCTTCAAAAATAAATATGCCATGAGATTGTATTGAGAAACCAAATGAATTGAAAAATGTATGCAGTTACCTCAACTTGGGGTCCTCATCATTTTCCTGTAATGTGCAGGTAGTATTTTGGTCTCTGGACAATGCAGTGTCTGTCACAGTGCTTATTCTGTGGTGATGTGAAAGCAGCCACAGGCAACAGATCAGTGAGTGGCTGTGGCTGTGTGCCAATAAAACTTTATTTACAAAGACACGCAGAGGGCCAGTTTGGTCCACAAGCCTGCTGACGACCCCAATCTAAATGGTTGATAACTACCTAAGTTCTCTGCTTCATTTTACCTAAATCATTATAATCTTTGTTTTATGATCTTCAAAACCAAAGTAAAGCACAAAGTTAAATTATCCAGGTACCTTTAGAAAACATGAAGGATCGAGCCTAATTTATTTGGTGTTTTTTCTGTGAATCGGGTTCCAACATTATTCATGTTGTTGCCACTGTGCCTTTCTGCAGACCTAAGTTACCTTGCACAATAGGAACAGAGGAACGTATACAACACTTGTTCGAGTATTTTGATGTTTAGTCCTGAGTGTTTGCAAGCAGTGAGAGTAGCAGAAGCACGCACTTAAACTCCAAGATGCACACAACATAGTGATTCAGCATTTTTGCTCCTGTGATACATGTAGTCACCCTGTCAGCATTCGAAGTTAGTGCAGACTGTCGACTGTGTTCCCACGCTGCACTTTGCATCCCCCGGACTCACCTGTTTTATAACCGGAAGCTTGTACCGCTCAGTCCCCTTCACTTGTCCTGTCCATCCTCCTACCCACCTCCCCTCTGGTAACCACCAGTTTGTTCTCCATATTTGAGTCTCTGGTTTTTGTATGTTCATTTGTTTTGTTTTTTTGTTAGATTCCATGTGTGAGTAAAAACATACACTATTTGTCTTTCTCTGACTGACTTATTTCACTCTGCATAATGCCCTCAAGTTCCCTCCACATCGTAGCAAATGGCAAGATTTCATTCTTTTTATGGCTGAGTAGTATTCCATCGTATATATACACCACCTCTTTATCCATTCATCTGTCTGTGGACATTTGGGCTGTTTCCATATCTTGCTTATTGTAAATAATGCTACAAAAGACATAGGGGGGGCATATATCTTTTTTTTTTTTTTTATTCTTATGTTAATCCCCATACATTACATCATTAGTTCTAGATGAAGTGTTCCATGATTCATTGT